GACCATTCATGCCGCGCGCACTAGAACTGGATGTCAACGCGTGCCCGGCAACTGTTGCGGTGCTTCCCAGATCGGATGTATCTTTCGTGTGTGCAGATGGTGGTTCCCCAAGAGCCAAACGTTTGCTCATCTCTATTTGCAAAGCTCTGGTTTTGGCGGTCAGTTCCGCATCGAGACGTTGAACTTGACGACGCATAGTACAATTTTCCTCTTGCACCTCGGATAATCGATCCACCAAAGCCTGTAAAATGGTAGAAACATGAAAGCCTGGGATGATTAGTATGCACCCGGACTAATCATCATTAAGAGACAGAAAGACAACGATCGGCGTTAAGCTCTTAGTACATCACACGAGAAACACATGAGATGGACCTGTTAGATAAATGCAAATCAAAGAGCTATGATGAATAAAGTACAACCCGATTTCTAAGCACATGTAGGGCACAGTTTCTCTCTCTCCGTGAAGTGTCTTACGACCCAATTGTTCAGCATTCTGGTAAGCTGCAGTGCTCGAGTGGTGTTTATCGACACTACATTTTTTATTACAGACTTTCATGTGATGAACAGTAGACGGGGTAAATCCCATAGTCACGGGGATCTGCTGTTCAGTGATGGAAACCGGTAACCTGAGCTCCGGGACTTGGAGTGATGAACCACATAAGGCCCCGATAGGTTAGGTGCGGTAGTGAATCGGATGACAGCAAAGCTGCTTACCACCAAAGTTGGGTGGCGGTGGCGGATCTTGAATCTCGGACCAAGGCACGCCGGTTACAGCGATTAAGCCACAGCGCCACCACCACCACCACACCGAATCCCACCAAAACCAGCGACCAACTTGTTCTTTGCATCACTCCCTTGGCTTCTAGCAAACTGATCGATTGACTCTACATTCAATTGGTTTGTGAAATAATGTATTTAAATCAGCTCAAGGTCAATGTAGCTATTATTATTATTATTATCAATAATACCGATGGGGAAAACTGGCCCAAATTAACCAACGAGTAGTGTCATGAAAGTGCGACTAGTGCAGATTCAACACATCGGACACAGATTGAAAATTTGTATCCCCACGTTACCGTAAAGGGGGGAAAGATAATAGAACGACGTTGTAGGAGTTTCAAAGAATGAAAAATTTGACTGGTTGGAATTTAATTACTTCAATGACCCATTGATCAAAAGCGTCGAAAAATGAGACAAAGCCAGTGTGATCGCTTTTTCCTACAGACCGTTGCGTGATGAACAGCGGATAAAGTAAACATTCCATTTATTCGTCGTGTAGTGGGTGTGGATAGTCGATCTCTAACAGAAGTAATCGCTCTACACCGCCTCCCATAGCTTGATGACGTATTGAGTATGTCTGCTCATCGATTATCTTTTCGTGCTCTCTTTGCTCGAGCTGGTCAAGACAGCATTTATATGGAGGGGAGTACACTAGTATCCGACAATGATTGAAATCTGTCCCGGTGAAATCTCTGTCATTTATACACCCCGACTTGGAATGCGCCGACCACTGGTTTCGTTTCTAAGAGCACTTCTGCCCGCCTTACCACCTTCCGTTCATTCGTTCGCCAAAAAGAATTTTAGCAACATTTCGCGGACTTCAGACGACCTGATTACACAAAACTTTCGTGCTCCACAGAGACGAATATTTAGGAGTCATTGTTCATCCAGCGTCTAAGTTGTTGCTCGACATTTTCACGAGGCTTCTTGTATGATTCGAGATCTCAGCTCATCCCATAGTATCCTGATTTGGATAATGAGC